CCGCGACGAGCGCGTCCTCCAATTCGACAATGCGGACCATGCCTGCATGAATCAAGCCCCCCTTGCGCCCGCGCCTCTCGGGCGAATTCTGGATCGCCCCCCGCCGCGCTCGCGGGCGAAACGCACGCGCGCGCCGCCGGCGATTATGGAGCCACGCGAGGTGCCGACGCCCCCCCCCCCCCTCCGAGCGTTTTTTGAAAATGTTCTCCAGGATGAGCGCGCAGCAGTGAAACGCCCGCCTGCCGGAACCGACTTTCCAAAGCCCGCGCGGCGCGCCCCGTGAAACGCGAGGGCCCCTCCTTGGGCCGTCTCTGGAAACGCAAAGAACGACGCGAGAAACACCATTCCCATCTTTTTGTCCTGGTCAACGCTGCCTGCGATGAGCGCCGCGACGTGGGCCCGCGAACCGCGCTCGCAGCCCGCCCGCTCGCCCGCGCCCGCAGCTTCGGCCCCGTGCGGCCTTTGCTTTTGAAAGGGGGCGATATTGCCACAGAAATGCCCCTCGGCCTTCGCCGAGCGACGCTCCACGCTAGCGCGCGCGCCCCCCTTCTTGCCGATGAGGGCGCCGAGCAGCTCCAACGAGTGAGTCGCCGTAAAATCACGCGCCGTATCTGCGCAGACGCTCGGGGCCGGTCCATTCTCGAGCGTCGACGCGCCAACGACTATGCACTGTAGAGATGGCGACTGCCACTCAAAATGCGCATGGGCGATGGCGCCAGCGAGCTCACGCGCCATGAAAACAAACTCAGCCATGCTGGGCGCCAGCGGGAACACGTTGTCAGCCCAAATCACGCGCGTGATTGGCGGTGCTTGAGGATCCAAGAATGACAGCCAGAGCCGCGTCTTGCCCAAGAGCCGAATAAGTCACATGATGCATTTCAAATCGATATTGAAGACATCCAATGTTTTCGCGCTTCCTTTTCCCCCTCCTCTGTCGAAACCGAGAAAATCTGCAAGGTCGGCGTCCGGGGGAGACATTGTTCCGCTCATTCCTGAATCTCATCGAGAGCCGCCGCAAGGGTTGGACGTACGCGTCTGCGAATCAAACATCTCTCCACAACTCCATGCCGCGTGGCATCCAAACAAATATAATGTCCACGCACCCAATCACCGCGCGCAAAAACCACCGGCCCGATACAAAAAAACGCACTGCCGCAATACAGCTATCATAACGTCACAATTGAACCCAAGACGAAATCCACAGGTGGCAACTGGACAAGCAGGCGTCGAAGTCTGGATGCGCGGCTGCAAAGAACGCGTGTACCCTTTGAAGCACACGTCAAGTTTACCTACCCATCGGACGTCGGCGAACTAATCCGGCACTCCACATCTAGGGAAGTCCATGAATTCAATGCATGTCCAACTGGGTGGGTCGGGGCTGCACGAGTCGGCAAATCCTTCTCGGGACAACGTCCAGAACTTGTGCACGCATAGGGCAAGCAATCCTTTCATAAACTTCTGGTGGGCAAACGTCGCAACCAGCAGCCGCGCGAAGCTTTAGCTTGGCCCCCCCGCGCATAGCCTCCATAGGCTTGATGTTTGGAGCCATGCCGCCGTCCACGCGCTCATTCGCCGCCACCTGCCGTAAAGCATGTAGTCGCTGTGCCTGAGCTTCGCTGCGTCGCCGAATCTTTCCCGGCCGCGCTCTCACGCTTCCTTGCGCCACAATTCAGGGTCAGCGGTGCGAGATCCATCGATCAACAACGCAACGGGGTTGCCGATAGGTCGACGTGCGAAGCCGATGCCAGCCAGCCGGCGTCCGCCGCGTAAGTGCTTGGCTCGCCGCGCCGCCCTCCTCAAATCTTGCACTTTCCGAAGTCTCTCCAAACCGCTGGCTGCTACTACAGCCTGCTTCGATGTCTTGGCCAGAGCGTTGATTCCCCGTCGGCCTTGATCGACCCTTGTCTTGGTCGCGCTGTAATGGATGGCCCTCGCTGCTTCCCAAACGGAGGCTTGAAGTGCCGGCAGGTCCGTACCTGGCAGTTCTGCACATTGCTGCCGGAACCTATCTCAATCTCGCAAAGCACACGGCTTCCATCCCGTAAAAAGCGGGCTGGGGTAGAAGTCTGACCAAGAGTGTGCTGCACCAGTCGAGCCATGACCGGCCTGTGATCTGAGCGGTTGGGAATTTTGTGCTTGATCTTCTGTGCTCCCCTTGCATGCCGGTCGACGCGCCGACGTAATCGATCTGTGTCCGCCGCTCTGTCGTTCGCCATGCGGTGCGTCCACAAACGTTTGCGTACCACCCCGCTTCCCATGATGACGGGGTTAGGAAAAGGTGTTCAACAATCGGACCTCCAACGTTTCCAACCACGCCAATACTGCAAATATTTTTGCTGAAGGGTGAGTGGCTCCGTCCTGGGTCCAACACCGCCTTCTCTGTCAGGGAACTCCAATGTGTGGGACGCTGTGTGTTAGCATCGGTGCCAAGGACAACATCAAAAGCAACTGAAGGATATGCATTCGGAATTCGTTGTGCAAATCTGGTTGTTTCTTCAAACGCCCGCGCGGCACGTCCATGCTCTTCGAGATGATCGTGGATATGAGCGGATATGTAGATCACATCTGCGATTGCCGCGCCATACCAGTAGCTACCAGAAACAACCTCCCTGAGCGCTCGCAGCCCAAGTCTAGTAATAATACAGTCACAATCCTCGGCACCAAGTGTAGCATGCGCGGAGTTAGCGTAACCATCTAGTTTTGACCAAGCCGGAACCTCCTGCAGCAAAGCCACCAAATCCCCAGTAAATTCACGAAGACCTTTACACACCCTGCTTGCGGCAGAAGCCCCCTTCCTGCAAGTGCTACAAGAGAAACATCGGGTGCGGTGACAAACCGTGCGGTGACCTCGAAATCCCCCAAGACCTCACCGCACGGTCTGTCACTGCACAGTTCGGGGACCCTGGAAGCCCCTGTCGCCCGAGACCTCCTCGGAGAACGAGCCGAGTCCCAAAACCATGCGGTGACCCCGAATCCCCACCGACTCTCACCGCACGGTGTGGTCACCGCCCCGTTTGGGGGCCCCCGAGTGCCGTAGTCCCCGATCACCCCCCGGAGCGCCTTCAGCTCCGAGTCGAAGGCCTGAGCCGTGGCCTGAACATGCTGCTGCGCCGCCGTGCTGTCCCAGACTACCCGGCCGTCCACGCTCACAGCGCCCACGTCGCTCTCCCAGGACGAGCTCTTCACGGTGAGGCGGTAGTGGGGGGGTCCGGTGTGGCGAGCAATCGCCTGTGCGTCCTCCTCCTTGCTCTTCATCTCGAGGAATGCGCGAGCTTTAACCCCCGCTTCGAAGCGGCGTTGTTCCTAAGGTTCTTTCTGCACCGTCGTGTAGAGGTCATTGCCGCTGAACTGTGCGCCGGGGCCTCCCTGCTGCAGAATATCCTTAAAGAGCACCGCAATCTCAGTAGCATCTGGTGGGGTAAAGTGAACCATAAACTTGTGTACTCGAGACCCTCGGACCTCGATGACCCCGATCTTGTCCTGAAGGTCCTCCGTCACCTGCGCCTTCAACTTGTTCACCAAATCCAGCGCCCGGGGTCTGCTGATGCCTTGCGGCTAGCGATCCTTCCAGGTTCAGAAGCCTCGAACATCGAAATACTTCGGGACAAAACTCTCGCTCCCAGATCCTGCTCCTGATTTCCCTGACATTGTGGCTTCCTCCAGGACAGTGAGCCGCGAATCATGTTTTCCCATCGTGATTTCGATCTTCTGGATCTTCCTGTTGATCGGTGCGAGATTCGTTTCGAACTTCTGGTCCAAGAGTGCTCCTGCAGATTCGACGGTAAGAGCTGTCATCGAAACGGTGTACTAGCTTGCTGTACTGGAGTGTTCGACATGAGGATCTATGCTCGAGGCTTCTCCTTGAGCCAAAACGGCTTGAACCAAAATGGCTCTCCTTCCCTCCCTCCCTCCTCTTGCCTCATCCCTCCTCTTCCCTCCTCCCTCCTCTTCCCTCCCCCCGGAGTTCTCCAGTGGTCTCCGCAAAAATTTCCAGAGGTATCCGGAGGTCTGGTCTCCAGAGGGTTCCTTTCCTACTGCTGGGATACCGCTGGCAGCTCGCCTCGAGGAATCGGTCGCCGAAGTTCACTGGCCATGGGAATGGCATGACCAGAGGCGGCCACCGACACGAATCCGTCCAGGAAGTTCGAAGGCCCAAGAAGAAGGACCGAGGAAGTTCGAAGCACGACATCTCAAGGGTTTCAACCTTCCCGCCTGTCCGCCCGCCCGCCCGCCCGCATGATTCGTGGGGTCGGCCCCTCCCGCTTGCGCGTTTGCTGTCGTCTGCCTGCTTCTCGCTCCCTGTCTTCTTCTCCGTCGCCACGCACCACAGACTGCTGGGAGCCCGCGGGAGAACGCGGGTGGAGAGCCGGGCAGAGAAATCCGCCAGATGAGCACGTCCCTCACACCTGCCTCGATCCTCGAGTGCCCGGGGGGGCTCTGGAGGAGGTCGGCGGCCGCCGAAAGCCTGGACGACCTGCTCGATGGTCTGGAAGCCCTCGGCGCGGAGCCTGCGCAGCAGGCGGCCGGAGATGATGCAGAAGATCGGCGGCGAGCCCGGGGGGGGAAAGAGAGGACGGCCTTCTCGGAAGGCTCGGAAGTCCCCCGGCCGTCCGAGAAGTTTTCCAGGCCCTCCCCGAAGACGCAGGAAGCCTATGTGAGGGCACGAGGGCTTCTAAGGAGTCCTGCCGCCTTCTGAGAGGGTCTCCTCCTTCCCACTTCCCCCTCCTCGCTCGCCGCCGAGAAGTACGCGTCGGACATGGCCATCGTGGCCGCGCTGGTCTGCAGAGCCTGCGGCTTGGCGAACCTCGGGTGCTCCGCCACAGGCCCCTCCTCCTGATTCTCCTCCTCCTCCTCCTTCCTCCTCCCTCATCCTCCTCCTCCTCTTCCTCCTCCTCCAACTCCAACTCCTCGTCGTCGTCGTCGTCGTCCTCCTCCTCCTCCTCCGCTTCGTCATTCTCCTCCTCCCCTCCGTAGCCACTTTGGCTCAAGCCATTTTGGAACAAGCCCCTCCTGGGCCCGAGGGGGGCCCTGACGGGGAGCGCGCGTGGGGGGGGGGGCGCAGCTCCCGCGAGCCAAGCCGCGCATCGGCGCGGGCGATGGTGTCGTGATGAAATTCTTCATTGCGGACAGCTCGGACGGCCAGGTGGTTGGCAAGCTGCTGACTGACATCGAGATCGCTCGCGGCTCCGAAATCAGCGTCTACGTACTCAATGTCGACGCTTTCGGGGACGCCACCCTCGCAGCGGGCCCGAGTGCCGTGGATGCGCTCGAAGCTCAGTGCGAACCAGAGGAAACAGTACAAGAGGGAGTTCCAGCAGGAGCAGCGCATGATCAACCGCGAGGCTTTCGTGAACGCCAAGGAAGCCAAGGAGAAGCTGTGGGCGGAGGCATCGGCGGCCGCCTGGCCACCAGCTCGGGAGAGCTCCTGCCAGGAGGCCCAGCCCAGGAAGAGGCCGCGGCAGGTGGCGACGATGGCATCGTCGTCAGCGGCAAGCAAGACAAAGAACCACGTGCCCAAGTGGAAGTGTGGCCACTGCGGCTTCGTCAACTTCGGCTTCAGGGGCTACTGCATGACGTGCGCGGGTCTCCCGCCTGCTGGCGCTCAGCAGCAGCAAGCGGAGCTGAGGCAGGAGGCGACCTGCGCGAGCAGCCGAACCAGCACCAGCAGGAGGACAACCAGGTGAAGGAGAACATCCAGGTGGACTGGGACCCGTACCTGATCGAGGAGGAGATGCTGGAGGAGGCTCCGGCACCGGCGCCAAAGAGGAATCGATGGTCATCGAGGCTGGCGGCCAACAAGGAGGAGATCGTGGAGGCGCTCCTGGCGGAGGTGGATGCGGAGATCCGCCGCTGAGCGTCGAGCAGTACGATATCTACGGCGACGGCGGCTGCAACACCACCAACTACGACGACTACGGCGGCTACGAGCGCGACGTGATGGACATCAGCTTCATGGCTTGGCGTCGGGCAAATCAGACTGGAGGCGACATCGCGGCGTCAAGCGACGGCCACTACGAGGATGAGGTTGTGGGTGTGACGCTGGAGGACGTCGCGCCGAAGCCCGAGAAGGACAAGGGCAACGGGGAGTTGCAGTGCCTCGACATCGGCTCGAACGCGGTTCCCGAGGAGCTCGACGACCCAGATACTTTCGCGAAGGAGTACGAGGAAGACATGTAGAAGGACATGAGCTACGTGGAGCTGAAGAGCGTGGTTGACGCCGTCGGCTTAGGCGAGGTCTTGGACGAGATCGCCAGCACGGCCTCCCTCGGCGACGACTGCGATGAGCTCGACGACGACTTTAGCGCCGTTGGTGCATCATGCAGAAGCTCGACTGCCATCGCTCTGGGCGCAATGGCAAGGGCAAGGGCAAGAGCAAGGCCAAGGGCAAGCACAAGTGCGAGATCAAGCACGGCGGCTCCGAGGGGGACGGCTTCGACCACGTCTCCACGAAGGAGCTGCTGCAGATCGCCGAGAAGCGGTTCGGGAGCGACGTCGTCGGCAAATTGCTCCTCCACATGCGGGCCCTCCGCGAGGGCTCCGTGGACTGAGCGAGGAGGCGCAGCATCCTGAACTTCGAGCCCGTCGTGGGCAAGTTTTGACAGGGGGATATGATGGGCCATGGGGGGAACCGCTTCCGTCCCCTCCCCGTCGCGCCTCGGGCTCCTTGGGTCCGTGGCCCTTGTGGGCCCCTCCTGGGCTGGTCCTTTGGGGCCGCGGCTGGGCCTTCGTGGCCTGGCGTGCCGCGACGGGTGATGGGTAGGGAACGGTTCGTCCCCCTACCGCGGCCCGTCCGGCGGGGGCGGGGAGAACCCGTCCGCGTCATCAGCACCCTCAGCACCCTTCTCCTCCTCCTCCGCCCTTCTCCTCCTCCTCCTCCTCCTCCTCCTCCTCCACAACTGCACAATATGAATACTACTCTCGTCTCTGCCCTGATGACAACCGGAAGATGTGCGCCCCCCTCCGCGTACTGTTTTTTTGCACAAGAATCCCGCGAAACGGGTTTTCGGTTTGTCTTCAACATGTTGCTCCCGCTGAAGGCGCTGGCCTCATTTTCGGGCTTCCTCTCGGTCCGAATCGTGCTCCCGCTGCAGCGCTGGCCTCATTTCTGCGCTTCCGCTCGTTTCGAATCGTGCTCCCGCCGCAGCGCTGGCCGTCATTCCAAATAAGCCCCAAAATCGAAAAAATGACCCCCCGGAAAAACCATCGGTCACTTCCACATTCGGTGCCGATTCGTTGATTTTTGGAGCCGCAGACGCCCCCCCAGTTGGGGGCGTTGTCGATTTCAGCCCCGTTTCTGCTTTGAGAAGGCGATGTTGACAGCAGAGCAAGCGGGTGCCCTCCAGCAGCCCCGCCTTGCGTGGAGCTTTCCGGGGAGCCCAAGAAGCTAGACATGGAGCCACGATTCCAGACGGGCCCAGACCTCTCGAAAACAATCCACTTACCCTCCAAGGAACCTGGCGCGCCGTGCCATGACATGCTGTGCGGTGTTGTGTTCTGCGC